GAAGATGTGGTATATATATATATATTTTTTTCCATTATGTATATAATGGAATAGTACTCAGTCACAAAAAAGAAAGAAATTTTGCCATTTGCAGCAATATGGATGGACTTGGAGGGCATTATGCTAAGTGAAATAAGTCAGACAGAAAGACAAATACTGTATGACATCATTTATATGTGGAATCTAGAAAATACAAGAAACTAGTGAACATACAAAAAAGAAGCAGATTCACAGAAACGGAACAAACTAGTGGCTACCAGTGAGGGGAAAGGGGTGGCAGGGCAACACAGGGGTGGGGAACTGGGAAGTATAAAATGTTGGATATAAGATAGGCCCAAGGATGTACTGTACAACATGGGGAATATAGCCAATATTTTGTAATAACAGTAAATGGAAAGTAACCTTTAAAATTTGTATAAAAATGTTTTTAAATAAAAAAGTTTAACAAAAATCATTCTCCTTATGATTCATGATTACTTATTCAACATTGATTTTGTGCCTGGCATTGTACTGAGGGGGGAATCCCAGTCCTGCCCTCAGAGCTTTACCTCAATGAGAAATGGCACTAGAGAACTTGCATATTGCCTCCAGAAACACTCTCCGTCCTCCCCCTGTTCTGTGTCCTAGGACCTTGAACTTCATGGATCAAATCAACAGGATCCTTTTGCTCTCTGACTTCTAGTTGGGTTTCAGCAGTGGGAGAGCCTTGCAGGAGATCAGAGAAATGGAGGAGAATGAGGCCAGGGTATTTCCCCCCTCCCCAGGTCCATCACTGCAGACATCTGTGCCCTTAGACTGTAGACCACAGATCCTGGCAGGTGGCCCTCTCCAAATTCTATCAGTAACTGCTGCCTCCTCTCTTGAGTCTGCTTTCCCCCTCTCTGGGATGTTCTTCAGGTGCTGCTAGCTCCAAGGTACCGTGTTATCCTTCCTGTGTGGTTCCCTTACCCTCCCACCACACCTTTACCAAACTCTCCTCAAATTACCCGGTTTGAGTGTATATCTGCTTCCTGCTGAGACTTCCTGTCTAGACAAGTGTTTAGAAGAGGCAGTGAAAAATAAACAGGCAATGAGAAGTAGAATGTAGTTTAGAAGTGTCTTCAGTGGTAGATCCGGGAGCTGGGAAGCCCTAGCAACATAGCTGGCAGGAAAGAGAGAGAGGAAAAACAGAAGGCAAAAAATGTTAAGAGTTTTTTTCAATAATCCAGATAATGAATATTCATTGTAGAAAATTTGGAAAATGCAGAAAGTAACCCAAATCCTATTCATAATCCATTAAAATGTTGGTGGATTACTTTCCAAGAGAGGATATTTTTCCTAATTCAAAATTAGAAACATGCCTACATGTTATAACATGGATGAACCTTGAGGACATTATTCTCAGTGAAATAAGCCAGAGAAAAAAGGACAAATATTTTATGATCCCACTTATATGAGGTTCCCTAGAGCAGTAAGAGTCACAGAGACAGAAAGCAGAATGGTGGGTGCCAAGGATTCGGGGGAGGGGGAGTGAGACATTAATCTTTGATGGGGACAGAGTTTCAGTTTAGGAAGATGAACAAGTTCTGGAGATAGACAGTTGTGATGGTTGCACAACAATGTGAATGTACTTAATGTCGCTGAACCATATATGTGGTTAAGTAATGGTTAAGATGGTAAATAGTTATTTAAAACCATTTGAAATAGTTAAGATTTTATTTGATGTTGGATGGCAGACAAACAGCCAGTGAAGGCCCAAGACTAGAAGCAAAAGAGAAAAGTGTGAAAGAGTATAGGAGAGGAGATTCAAGCTTTGGTTAACAATTTCAAATACTCCCTAGAGGTCAAGTTAAATGGGATGGAAAATAAACTAGGAATTGGTCAATTGCTGGAGGACACTAATAACCTTTGCCTGAATCATTTCAGAGGACTGGTGGGGGCTAGAGCCATACAGACCAGTCTTAATCCCTCACTGAAAAGCATGATCGCCACCGTTGCAGGAGGTGACCGGGAATAGCCAGGAAGAACCTCCTCTCCCAGCCTGGGGCTTCCCACAGTCTCCTGACACCTCCCCCAGGAAAGTGACCTCATTTCTCAAAGACAAAACTGATTCTAGGTCATATCCCCCTGGAACAAGAGACCAATTGATGTGATTATCTCCAAGAGAAAGAGGGGCACCTACTAAAAGTAGAACCTGGTGCCCCAGAAGGGAAGACATCAGGGAACCTAAAAAGGGGTCTCTGATAATTACCTGCCAAGATTTCAGAGTGAAGGGCATCTCCATGTAATACCAAAGGAAAAAAGGAAAGAAAAGGCAGAAGTTTTAGAAGGTTCTCCTTCATACATTCTGCAATTTCACTCCATTTAATGCAAGAGCAAAATTTTCTTCCCCACATGATAATGCTCATTATACAAAACAAGTGGTCCCACCAAAAATGGCTACAAGAAGGAATTTCTGTAAAACGTTCTTCATTATAAAAATCAGAGAGCTAATTTCACAAATATTATTCCCCACTGGTCTGAGTTAGAAATATTCGAACTTCAGTATGTTGGGAGGAGGGAGATGTATGTAAATATAACAATATACGTAGGAGAGGGGAATAGAGAAACGACTGGAGTGAAATCAAAGCATGTTCTGAATAGGTATCTCTGGATGGTAAAATTACAGATAAATTCTGATTCTCTTCATTATATTTTTCTGTGTTTTACACAACACACATACATTACTTTCACATGATGAAAACAGGCTTGTTAGCTTGAGAGATTATTTGGGCTTACAGAATAGTGAAATTCTCCCATCCCTCAAGCTCATGTATATAAATGTTTCTGTAGCATTTTTAAAACTTCATAACTTTAAAATTTTTTTGCAAGATGGAAAACTTCATAATTTTCATTCAGCCCTGGAGACTGAGAGCCAAACCCAGCCCTGATGTGGTTCCTTCTAGGCACCTGCCGTCTTAGTTTAGGCTGCTATAACACCACTGTAGACTGGTGGCTTATAAGCCACAGAAGTTTATCCCTCACAGTTCTGGAAGATGGGAAGTCCAAGATCAAGGTACTGGCAGATTTTGTCTGGTGAGAAATTCCTGGCTCACTGACAACCATCTTCTCATTGTGTCCTCACGTGTCAGAAGGGGTGAGGGAACTCTCTGAGGTCTCTTTCACAAGGACATTAATCCCATTCATGAGGGCTCCACCTTGACAACTTATTCACCTCCCAAAGTCCCCACCTCCAAATACCATCACGTTGGACATTAGGATTTAACATATGAATTTTAGAAGGACACAAACATTCAGTCTCTAGCACCTACCAACCCACGTGAGACCTCCTCAAAAACATCAAAACCTAGCCAGGCAAAAATCTTGAGGTAAAGAGAGCTAACCAAAATGGTATTAGCAAGTGCAAAAGCCCTTAGTTAGCAACTAGCACGACACGTTAGACGAGCACAAAGATGGCCAGGGAGGTGGAAGCACACTGAGTGCGCCTGGGGGTGGGAGGTGGAAGATGAGTTATTTGGAGGAAATGAGAAAACTCAGATCATGCAAAGCCTTGCAAATAAAGAGCTCTCAGATTTTATTCTGGTACAATGGGATTCACTGAAGGGTTTTTAAGTGAGAAAGTGACATATTCTAGTTTAAAATACAGCACTGGCTGTGCTGTGGAGAATGAATTTGAAGAAGTGGGTGGGAGGTAGGCAGGGAGACCAGGCGAGTGAGAAATGATGGAGTGAATGAGAATAAAAGTGCTACTGGCAGCAATGGAGAACAAACTGATCATAGTGGAGATAAGTTTTAAAGGTAGGACAGGCAAAATTTGTTGATGGATTGGATGTGGACATTAAAAAATTAAAGAAGCTTCCTAAGCTTTTAACATGAGCAACTAGGGTGGATGGTGAGCCACTAAGTCAAGGAATACCAGCCGAAGAAAACAATCAGGGAGATTAATCAAAGTGTGGTTTTGGTTCTGTGGAGTTTGAGATGCCTACCCATTGCCCAGGTAAAGATGCCGCTTCTAGGGAAAAAAAAATCAGGGTGATGTGATAGAGAATTATGGGGGAGGCACTGAGACCAGCCATCTTTTTTTCTTCCCCAGACTCTGACCTGCTTCTTATGTTGAAGGAATTCTACATCATATAAGTCTTGGTGGGGAATAAAGTCTTCCTCTCACCACAGAAACAGGAAGTTCAGACCAGACTCACTTTCCCAGCTTCTCCTGCAGCTCTGGCACAGCCATGTGATACAGGCTCAGATAATTAGATGTAGCCACCTTGGACCCTGAGAACTAAGGAGTCAAAAGAAGCAGGTACTATAGAGAACATATTCAGTTGCTAGCCACTGAGCAGTGCCATTCCCAGCGCAGGAAGGGGAGAGTTCTGCAATGGTAGCAGTAGCCGTGGTGTCTTCAGGAGCCACCGAGTGTCTTTGTTTTTTGGTTTTTGTTTGTTTGTTTTGGTTTTTTGTTTGTTTGTTTGTTTTTGGCTTTGTATCTGACCATGAGGCCATCTTTTCCTTTTCTGTGGCTTGCACTAAAGATCCTGAGTGCTAGGAGAGAGTAAGGCTTAGATATAGTGCTAAGGAAAGACCCCCTTAAGATGGTGATATTTAAACTGGGTTCTGAAGATTGAAAAGGAGCCAGGCATAAGAACACCATGGGAAGAAACAGAGAGGAAACAGCAAATCCAAAGCTTTGAAGTGGCAAAGAGCTTAGCACATCCTCAGAGCTGGAAGAAGGCCCTTAAGAAGCAATAGCGAGAAGTGGGCTAGATGAGATCTGCTTTCTCAAGGAACCAGGATTCCAAGCCACCTCCTCCTACCTCCAAAGCAAAGACTCTCCAACCCTTTCCTGTAGTCTTTCCCCTCCCCCGCTTTTGGAACTCTGCCTGCGCGGTTGCTGTGGTCGTCATGGTGATGGGCCCTCTGTTTCACTCACTCTTCAGGCCTGGAAGGAATTGCGTGTCGTTGAGGGTTCAGGCTTCTCCGCGAGAGGATCTCAGGCCAGGCCATAATACCAAGCAGAGGTCATGCCCGTGTTGATACCCCCAGTTGAGCGCAGTCAGGACACGCGTGTAGGGCCTCCAGCATGGCGCGAGGCGGCCAAGGCCCTGACACAGAAGGTGCACCAGCTGACCGACCGCTGCGAGCAGGAGGCGGTGACCATGTGGCAACCCAAGGACAGCGTGCGGGACCCACACGTAGCGCGCCACCTCTGCAGGGCTGCCTACATCCTGCCCTGGCGCTTCCGCGTGGAGATGCTCAAAGGTGGCGGCACCATGGAGAAGC